TATATATATATATATATATATATATTACCCCGGCTTGTAAACTACCATGGTGCCAACGCCACAGCAACTATAACAATAACAGCAACATGGTACAGGTGGGTTGAAGTACAGAGCAAAGTGGGAAGAAGGTGGAACAGTTAAAATAGAAAAATGTAACTGGGATAACAAGAATTTTTGTTTGTTCTCCAGTATGTCGTCTATGACGAAATCGAACAGGAATGGCGAAAGAGGGCCCCCTTGACGAACTACACCGCTGCTACTTACGAACGACCTACTCAGCTCGCCGTAAACCCTTACGCTACCAGAAGTAAGCGAGTAGAGTGAACTCAGTATGTTCACTTACTTCTGTGGTATTCCTTTTACGAAGAAGTTAACCCATAAGGGATTGACGGTCAATTGAGTCGAACGCTCCTTCGAGTCCAAGGAAGACGACAACCGTCGGTCGTCTGTGCGTATAGCGTAGCTCGAGAACTTGACACAGTGAAGATTTGATCGATACAACCGCTACCTGGTCGAAATCTTACTTGTTCTTCGCGGATATTTGTCTCCCTAAACGGTGTCAAACGTCGAAGTATGATGGAAGCTAGTAACTTGGTGACGTTTGGGATAAAATTTATTCCACGGTGGTTTGCGCAGTCGTTGCGAGTTCCCTTCGTAATAATTGGAATAAGTAGTGATTCGCTGTAGGATGATGAAGTGCATTCGTGTATGCTACGCATTATATCAGTAATAGAGTCTACGAGGTCATCGCCTCCTCCCCATCTTGAAATGAGGAGGAAGCCCGTCCGGTCCTGCTGCTTTTCCGTTCTTCAGGGCTTGGATGCAAGATCGAACTTCTGCTGCAGTAGGAGGTTCAGATGATGCTGCCCACGGAGTCTCAGCTACACCAGACGAGATCTGTTGGTTAGCGCCTAAAAAACTAAACTGTTCGATGAATTACTCCGCCCACCAGTCAGGCCTTTGTTCCCTATTGTGAAAAGCTTGTCCACTTTTATCATTGACTGTTTCAGTAACTGTTGTTCGCCGACCTCCCGTGTTGCGTATCTGTTGGAACAGCCTTTAAGTATTCCCTGATGCAGCTGCTACTTCCACTTCAGTAGCTATTGTTGCCTTTCAGTTCTCCCAGTTTTTCTTAAGATGAAGTTGTAGACGCCACCTACCCCCACCTTGATCCCGGGCGGTTGGGATTTGCCGCTTTTTCTCCATCAGTAATGCTAACTGATCAAATATCCAATACCTCGGGCGGGCTACCGCTTCAGATCCACAAACGACATACTCTGCGGAATGCGTTGGTCCTCTTATCTGATCCCATTTTTCATCTACACTATCACCCCGCAGCGCATTTAGCTCTTGTCCTTGTTCTGATTCAAAACGGGCACAAACTTGTGGGTCTAATAGACGATAATCTGCCAATCGAGCTTCTTGGGGTTTTCTGCGACTGGTGAGTTGGAGAGTGAAGTGTATCAAGTTTCAGTTTGAGTTTTTACGACAATTAACCATGGACTTTGGTGCGCTGGTTTTGGTTGCTGTCTGTTGGTGCCCCATTCAGATAAAAGAGCGGAATGAAGACTGCAATGCTGAGAACAAATTCAAGAACAAGATGCAGAATTCATATAAAGTGGTGTTAAATGAATAAGGAGCGGATGCACGAGCGCCATTGCTTCCGACACCCAACCACTCGCTCAATGTCTCTAAATTTCAGTGAGCATCATCGTGGGGTTCCCCACGAACGAGCCTAACCGGACCTATGTGACCCAGACTCCTGGTTAGGGTTTTCATGGCCTCATGCCAGGTCTTAGCTTGAC